ATATTTTTAACAAGTTGAATTTCCATTATTTCAATTGTTATTCAGAGAATAAGTGCAAACATCACTAAAAAGTCTCTGCAGTATATCAGGATCTAAGAAACACTTTTGAGGACATCACATTGGCTGATAGATCCACAGAGCCCAAGACTCCTGGTTTCTAGAGCATTAGTCTCAAGATAATAGTCTCCAGTGGCCCAAGGACTCCATTAAAATATTCATGGTACTGAGCTCCATGCTTAAAGAACGGCGAAGACACAAGCTTTTATATTATAGGAGACTCTAATGTCAGAGAGGACTCATCACAGGCATCCAAAGTGAAAAACTGCCTTAAAACTTATGTGTGAATTATGAGATACATGAAATCACAGGAAGAACTTCAAAAAGCCGGACCTGAGATGTGAGATGGTAACTTCTTCCTCCAGTTTAATTTCCTTATGATTTTAAACAACTGGAAGGAGATTTTCCTTCTATGTAAGGTGGGAATTTTAGAGGTCTTTTACTCTTTATAATGAACATTATTCTATATCTTCTAATAATCAAGTACTGTGGATGTTAATAGCTGGTTATTAGATATTAAAGAAACTGTGGACAAAGATAAGTTGGAAGTTAAGAATGCTGTCTGTCAATTCCTTACCTCCTGGTAGAGAGGGAATCCATAAAACTGAATGGGCAAAGCTTTGAAGAACTGCAAACAGAATAGGATGGCAAACTCACCGGAAATCCAGGTGAATAAAGAGGGGAAGTCCTGGGAAAAATAAACAGGGCTGAAAAAACGTAACAGGCATATTGTTCTCCATTGCCTGCTGGGGTCATTGGGAAGAGTGGAAGTAATGTTATACTGACATAATCTTCTATCCCTACTGCACTGTGAGAGTATGAAAACAACAGAGATTACCATCAAAAATATGGAAAAAAAAGGATCATAACAGTCAAAAGTCCTTAACCAAAATTAATGTGAAAGTTAGTTCATACCGTCAAAGTACATATACCCTCATATCCTGGAGATTTCTCTTCTTGGAGAGGCTTGCCAAAAGCTTGTGGTAGGTATGGGTGGAGACTATTGTTTTCATAAAGCTCCTCTAGTGATTCTCATATGCCCCTCAGTAGATGACAGCTTCTGTTGTCAAATGTAATTGAATACTACAGAAAATAGGAATAGAGTCTAGAATTCACAAATAGTAATTTCTTTCTCCTATGATCTAAGCAACCACTACTGGAGTTTTCAGAAGTTTTTTGTTTGTTTATTCACCTTTTGTAAATCAAAATAAACAAGAATGTAGAAAGCAACTGTATATATTTCCCATTGCTAGATTATATGATTCTTAAAATCTGCTTAGAGAACAACCAACTATCTTCAGGACGTGTCCAAATAAAATAAATACTAAATTGAGCAAGCAGTGTAGTGAAGAGTAATTAATAAATGCACTGAAGTGATAATCATGGAGGTTTTCTGGGGAATATGGGATTCCATTTTTTCCTGCAAACTTTGAACTAATCTTAGTAAAAATTGTACATTCATTAGGCTTAGTGTTCAAGTTTGGGGAAACAAAATTTTAAAACAAATCTCCGCCCTGTCTAGCATATAAGTGAAGTTTAAAAATTCTTTTAAAAACCCATATCTCATCACAATAAAATGGGATGTGAATCTAGAAGAAGAAATGACTAACATAACCAGGGTGGTTTAGGGAGGCTTCTGAGGGACGTGAGATGTCAATTGTCTGTCGAAGAGAGCTAAGTTTTTATCAGGCAGAGAAGAGCAAGAAGAACACTACAGGTTATACAAAACAACATGTGCAAAGTAAAGGAGCCAGGAAGGATATATTATTTTTTGGAAAAGTGAGATGTTCGCCACCTATGGGAGAATGACAGCAGGAGATGAGGCTGGGCAGGTAAGACCATGAATGCCACGTAGGGCGCTTGCACTGAGGGAGGCCTTATAATCAACCAGCCAAGCAAGTGGGTCTCCAGACTCTCACTGCCTGGCTGTAAATATCCTGTGCAAGAACACTGACCAGCTGTATCACTTTTGGCAAATTAAGTAACTCTTGAAGCCATAGTTTCTTCACTACAAACACGGTAATACTAATAGCACTTAACTCTGAAGATAGCCAAGAGGATATATGAGGTCATATAAATGAAGCATGCAGTAAAGATTAGACGTTATCAGAATTATCTAATGTGTAAGCAAAGGATATATAAAAACTATAATGAATAGATGTATCATGATTGCAGATTAAATATAGAAAAGCTGGTAATCAGTGAAGGATAGGACAGGGAGAGGGAAAGAAGGCTTTTGCAATGTCCCAATGAGAAATAGAGTAGAACGCAGGAAACATTTTTTAGTTAGGATCCTGGAATCTAGAAAATGCCGACAGAACAGAGGAAGAAGAGTCAAAATAATCCAAGCGAGGGCCTGAAAAATGAGTGAAAAGTCTGATAGAAGAAATACAGAGGAGAGGAAACTGAGGCAGAGGGAACACCACGTGCAAAGGAACAGCAGCATGAAGGATTATAACGTATTTGGAAAATAGAGGGTTCTATTGTCTGGTTTCAGTGTAGGGTAGGTAGATCGATGTGATAGAAACTGAGCTAGGGCAGTGTCTAGGGATCAGTTTGTGATGAGCACCGAATATCGTGCTGGGGTATTCGGATTTCCTCCTATAAGCAGTGTATAGCCATTCACTATTTCTGACACTATCAGTGATTAATATGTCCTGTGTTTAGGAACCTAACACCTGGTCACAATGGGGTGAATATAATAAAAATGCAGGAGACAACCATGGAGGCAACATATTTATTCTGTGGGATAGGTCCAGGACAATAGCAGAGGGAATAAAAAAAGAAGATAAACATGTTGGCAAACAAACATCTGGAATTTTGGAAGTAACTTACTTTGTAAAAAGACGAGAAAGCAGTAAAAAATGGAGTCTGATGGTGGCTCTCTGATGACTGTAACTAACTCGAATTGAAAGTACAGGAGGAAACTCTGTCATGTGGATAAATATGGCCAGTTCTGTTCTGAAAATTTTGTATCCAATTGTTGGAGGTTATTCCAGCAATGGAGATGTGCCAAAGGGAATTAGAGATTTCCTTTTTGGTAGAGGCAGGAATTGGAGAGTCACACAAGGTAAATGGTAGCTGAAGCAACAAGAAAGGAAAAATGTTTCCTTTAGAGGTAAATAGACTGGGAAAGCTTCAGTGGAAAGAGTGTGGAGTGGTCTCCATGATAAGCCACATGGGTCTTGGTTGAATTGGTTGGGTAGACGAGTTTCCCACCCAAGGGTCTTGTGTTTGCTGTGAACTGTGCCTGTGATGCTCTCTCCTCTGATCTTTCCCTGTTGGTTGCTCATTGCCATTCTTTTCTCCACTTAAGTATGTCACCTTCTCGGGCTTCCTCAAATGTGCAAACAAAAGTGGTCATTCTCTGACATCACAGAGATCCTATGCATCTGGTTCCATTTTTTGTTTCCCATGCAGAAAAAGCCTGGCACATCATACATATTTAGTCAATATGTAGTGAATAGAATAAATTCATGACTTCTATAATCACTTAACCACTCTGTACCGCACTTTATCTTTTATAAAATCAGAATGAAAAATCCTTAGCACACAGGCTTTTGAGGATTACATGAGACAGCTCTGTCTAACCCCAGCATATGGTCTGGCATGTTATAGACATTAAAAGGTGCTGGTTACCTGGCCTGACTCTTCTTGTATTCTTTGCCAATAACTACCATGCAAGTAGACAATACCAACTCTTCAAATAATAATATATTTATTTTTTTTGTCTTTAATCTTTGTGAATCCTACAGAATAATTTCCAGCCAATGTTTCTTTTCTCTTTATCTTGCACACTCCTTCATTTTCCACTGCTGATTACTTACTATTTTTATTTCCCTTTCCCTTTAACACTGATTTAAGTTAAAATAAAAATTCTGTGAAGTGTCTTCATATCACTTTTATGCTCTCACTTCCTACAAGATTAGATGTTTTATGAACAATCAAAATAGAAATATGATTTGCCAAATTGATCCAAGTAATGTGGATTGATTCTATTCACTTCTGTTCTTCAAAGCAAACGATGTAACAGGTATACCTGCTAGAAAATGTCCTGGAGGTTTAGCTAAAAACTCAAAAGTTGATTCAAATATAATGACCAGAATATGCCATTGTAGAATGAGACAGTATCTTCATAGTCATTTGACTCCAAGCTAGTTCATTATATTATATTAGGCATCTGGAAAAAAACTTTAATGGGAAGTTCTTAAGAACTTAAAAATTATTGATATGCATTAAGAACTAACAATATTATGTATCTCAAGCTTCAATTATTACCTTGGATAGGAACCCAGCAGAAGTTACAGGACGTTAAATTCATTTCTGTGGTCTAGTCATTATCACAATAATCACTTTTGAAGTCACTTCATGGTGATGACTGATGAAAAGAGTATTGCAGTGAAAGAAAAGTCAAAGTTCTTTTGGAAAGTTTCACTGATCTATCCAAATTTTTTAAAATGTATATTCACTTTAAATGATTTAAAGGGTTGAATTATTTTATTCATTCAATCAATAGTTTATAAAGTACTCATGAGTACCAGGTTACCATTAGATCACGAAATGTATTTGAAAAATGTGGCATCACAAAATCCTGTGTCAGAATAAAGCAATTTTATTCACATTTTCCCCCTTACATGCAGATCCTAATTGGAAAAGAGAAAGTTAAACAGTGTTTTCTGAGTAGAATCCAAGAAGATATTTGGGCCCCTTCTGTGTCATTTATGCAGATTCTCATCACTCTCTGCTGAACTTGACTTCAGTCAGGAGCATTTAGCATCCCTTTCTCAGGCTCTCCCATGAAGAGTTGCCTGAAACTTGCCCAGATGCCTTAGATTAAAGTCTAGGTGACATCAGTACATAAGGATCTTTTTACAAATATCTCAGAATCTTAATCTCAAGAATCTCTGCACCTTTGGAGCAAAGCTGCTCTGCCTACCAGGAGGATGGGAAATCATACTACAGTGAGCACATTCCTTCTGTGGGGATTTTCTGGTTTCCCAGACCTGCAGAATTTTCTCTTTGTGATGATTTTCTTTTGCCATGTGACTACCGTAACTGCAAATGTGTCCATAATGGTGGCCATCCAGCTCAGTCACAACCTTCACACTCCCATGTACTTTTTCCTCTGTGGTCTGTCCATTTCAGAAACTTGTACCACTATGGTAATTCTCCCCCGTATTTTGGTGGACTTGCTGTCAGACAACAAGACCATTTCTCTTCCTGAGTGTGCCACACAGATGTTTTTCTTCTTAGGCTTAGGAGGGAATAACTGTTTCATCATTGCTGCCATGTCCTATGACCGTTACACTGCCATTCACAACCCACTGCATTATGCCATCCGGATGACCCATAAGATGTGCTTGCAGCTCATGATGGCGTCTTGGATGGTTGGATTCCTGGTTTCTCTCTGCATCGTCATCACTGTATTCAACCTATCTTTCTGTGACTCCAACACCATCCAGCACTTCTTCTGTGACATCTCGCCTGTGGTCTCCCTTGCTTGTGATTACACTTTGTATCATGAAATGGCTACTTTTTTGCTCTCTGCCTTTGTGTTGGTGGGAAGCTTTATTTTAATTATGATTTCCTATGTCTTCATTGGGTCCACAGTTTTGAAGATGCCTTCTGCAAAGGGGAAGTATAAGGCCTTCTCAACTTGCTCCTCCCACCTCACTGTAGTGTGCATCCACTATGGATTTGCTTGCTTTGTTTATTTGAGGCCCAAGGACAGTGACTCATTCCATGAAGATATGCCAATGGCTTTGACATATACAGTGCTGACACCTCTGCTTAATCCCATAGTATACAGTCTAAGAAACAAAGAAATGCAGATAGCCCTAATGAAAGTAGTAGACAATGCAAATAGGCTTATCTCTCAGAGGGTTAATAAAAGAACCTTGAACATTTAAAAATTTACAGATTGCTGGGGCTGGCCCCGTGACCGAGTGGTTAAGTTCGCGCGCTCCGCTGCCGGCTGCCCAGTGTTTCGTTGGTTCGAATCCTGGGCGCGGATGTGGCACTGCTCATCAAGCCATGCTGAGGCAGCGTCCCACATGCCACAACTAGAAGGACCCACAACGAAGAATATACAACTATGTACTGGGGGGCTTTGGGGAGAAAAAAGGAAAAAAATAAAAAAATCTTTAAAAAACAATTTACAGATTGCTGATAAATAAAAGTGGAAAAAGGGGACTACCTCCAATAAAAATCATCACTTTGTGTGCAAAGAAATTAAAATATTGTCTAACTACCTGGTATATCTTCACATCACCATTTTTCCAGTACAAACAGGATACAGTTAAAATATTTTTAGCATAGGTATGTGTATGTGTGTGTGCATGTATGTATGTATAATACAAACACGCAAGCAGTAAATGAATCAAAACATGTTTTGTTCTGAACATGTTTTGAGACACAGCATTTTCATAATAGTAATTGGATGAGTCTTTTTGTTTATGGATTATAGTTTTAGTGTCAATTCTAAGAACTTTTGACGAGCCCTATATCTTAACAATTTTCTCCTATATTTTTCCCAAAACTTATAGTTTATAGTTCTACATTTTACATTTAGGTCTATGATCTATTTTGAGTTAATTCTTGCATGAGGTGTGAGGTTAGGTTGAAGTGCTTCCATCCTCCATGGATATACAATTGCTCCAGCACCATTTTAGAAAAGCCTTCCTTCTTTCAGTGGATTGCTTTTGTACCTTTTGAAAAAATCCATTGGGTATACTTGTGTGGATCGTTCTCTGGGTTCTCCAGTCAGCTTCATTGATCTGTGTATCTGTTCTTCCACCCACACCACACTGTTCTGATGACTGTAGCTATATAGTGAGACTTGACATCCAGTAGAGTGATTCCTCCCATTTAATTTTTATCTTTCAAGATTGATTTATACAATCAGACCTCTTTAGTAATGTAAGCATTTAGTACTGTAAATTACCCTCTCAGCTCTGCTTTATCTGCATCTCACGTGTTTTCATATGATGTCTTTTAAATTTTTCATTGTGTTCTATTTGTGTTTTAAATACTAAAGTTCCAAGTCTTCTTTTCACCATTTATTTTCTGTTTAGAGAACTTCCTTTAGCCATTACTTAAAGGTAGATTTGTTGGAAACAAATTCTCTTAGCTTTCCAACATCTTCAATTTCTTTTTCTGTCATACCTGAAGGTATTTTGCCAGATACAGAACTTACATTTAAAAATGTATTCTTTGCTTTTAATACTGAAAAATATTGCCACTTCCTTCTGGCCTTCATGGTTTCAGATGAGAAACTCATCTTTCATATTGCTCTTTCCAATAAGTAATGAATCCTTTTTCTCTGAGTGCTTTCAATATTTTTTCTTTGTTTTTAATTTTTCAAAACTCTAATTATATGTGTCTTGGTATGAATTTATTTGACTTTATCCTGTTTGAGTTTCGCTCAACTTCCTGAATCTGTAGTTTGATGTCTTTCACAAAATTTAGGATGCTTTAATAGTTATTCAGCCCCCCTTTCCTCATTCTCTCATTCTGTAACTTCCAAAATATGAATGTTAACTTGTTTTTCATTGTTCCACAGATTCCCATAGCTCTGTTCCATTTTTTCCAATCTATTTTTTTGTTGTTTATATCAGCCATTTCTATTCATCTTTATTCAAGTTCACTGATTCTGTCCTCTGTCATATCCACTTCATTGAGGCCACTCAACATGTTGTTTTATTATTTAACTTCAGTTGGTGTATTTTTCAGTTCTATACTTTTTACTTAGTTGTTTTTATAACTTCTATTGATTTGCTAAAATTTTCTATTTTTTCATTTGTGCCAAAAGATTGCTTGTTGAAGCATTTGTTTGATGGCTGCTTTAATATCCCTTTCAGATAATTTCAACATCCTATTCATCTTGGTGTTGGCATATATTGTCTTTTCTCATTGAAATTGTGATTTTTCTGGTTCTTGGTATGACAGTGATTGTTGATTATATCATAGACATTTAGGATATTATATTATGAGACTTTGAATCATATTGAACCACTTTTTTAGAAGGAAGTCCCCCATAGAGGTGTCACTGTAACCACCAGGTGAATTCCTGCTCAGCACTATTGACACAACTCTAGCAAAAGGGAGTGCTGACTCACACTGCCTCCTTGCAGATAAGTGAGATGAAAGTTCAGCTCCTCACTCTGCCCTGTTGTCTTCTTACCAGTGATAGTGTGACCATGACTTGCAAACTTCCTTGCTTCTAAGAAAGCTCAGCTCCTTGTTGGGCCCCACCTCATTGCCACTAGGGAAGGAAGAGGTAGAGAGCTAGTTCACTGTGCTTTGCTGTTGCAGGGTGGAAGTGGACACTCAGCACCCCACTGGGCCTCCACTCACAAGAGGGCAGGGGATTGTCGGGGGAGAAGACTACCAAAGAGCCCCACCTCACACTCCCTCATTGAGTGTCATTGCTTCCAGATAACAGTGCAGGCTCATTTCCCCACTGGAACCCACTGACGCTACCCTGGCTGGAGAATCAGAGGGTGGGTGGGGTGAAGATCAGCTCCCTGCTTGGCCCCACTGAAACCTAGGGGTAGGAAGCAGGTACGATTTTTGCATTGGTGTTTGTCTGGAGTAGGTCAGATATTGCCAAAAGGTTTTCTGTTCTGTTATGGGCACCGTTTTCCCAGTTCTTTGACTAGAAGGAATAGGCTATTCTTAGAGATCTTTTTGTCTGTGTCTCTTGGCAGTTCTGGGTTGGAGGCTTCTGCAGCACCCTGTCCAATATATCTGGAAGCAATAGGGAAACTCAGAAACTCACCATTATTTGGTTCCTCAGGTGCTGAAGTCCCTAGGATTATACCTTCTTCTTCCTCCTTTTAGAGTCTTCCTGTACTTGCTTGTTGTGTCACATCCAGGGGCATTTTTAGTAATAAGAGGGACAACCTAGAAGAACGGAGCTACTTCATCTTCAATGCAACCATAAGTCTATGCCTTCAAACATTTAAAGATTTTTTACCCAGCTTCCTACTTATTTTGTGCCAGAAACTTAGTCTAATACAAATTAGCCTGACATATCCAGATGTAGAAGTCTCCATATTTACTTTGAACAAAAAGGGTTGGCTAGAATGGAATGTGTCAGATACAAATGCAAGTCCTCTGGTGATGAAGTACTCTCAAAGATCTCCTCACTCTGCCCCTCCACAGAGATTATATGCTCTAAAATAAGTCAAAATATTAAGAGGATATTTGTGACCTTTATCTTTTATTTAATGTTTATGTGACTCAGTTACATCCTCTGTAAAATACAGATTAAAAACGAACTTTATAGGGTTATCCTGAGGATTCTTTTGGGTCAATACTTGTAAATCACTGGGAACAGTACCTGGAATGTAGTGAGCAAACTCATATTATAGCCGCTATTGCTAATGTTCTTACTACTGCTACTTCTACTATTACTCACATTTGCCATCTAGATTTTCTAACTCTCCGACCGTGCCAACACATAAGGGAGATATTATTGAGCAGAGGGTGATTAGAAAACTTTTACTGAACTAGGCTGGGATTCTAGTTGACAATCTGAGTGAAACAGTTTTGAGGCAGTGGCATAATTGTGGTGAGCATGAGTTTGTGTAAAAGCCTGTCCCAGTTGTAGCAGGATCTGACACAAACATTCAATCAGTTGAATCAGGCTGAGATTCAAGATTCAAGCCAGTAGAGTCAAGTCAGTAGAGTAGAGTGGTTCGTGCCAGAGCAAAAGCTTCATTCAGCCATCCATTCATTTGTTAATTTTTCATCATTCATTTCAAATACGTATTTATCCTTTCTATGTTCCAGAAACTGTGTGAAAATTCAATGCTCGGGGAAAGACAAAAGACATTGTAGTGTTTCTGTGAAGCTTCCAACATTGTGGAGAAAACAAATACTGATTCTGTAACTGCAAGTGCACTGACTATTCCAAAGAAAATACTCAGGGTGCCGTTGGGGGATAACTGCTGTCCTTAATTTGGTCTCGAGCTTCAGGAAGGATTCTGAAAGGAGGGGAAACATTTAGTTGGGTACCTATAACATAAGAAGTGAAACCCAGGTGAGGGGAAAAATGCATTCAGGTGATGTGCCTGCATGTGAGAGGATCCTGAGGCAGCAAATAACATGTACCTGTTTAAGGATTTAAAAGAATACCAATGATTGATTCCTAGAATTTGTGTATTAGAGACTTGAGGGAAGAACAGTGAGACAGAGAAATAAAACAGGGGCCATATTCAGTATTTTGTAAGTCATATTAAGAATTGTTACCTGCATTCTAGGGTCTTTGGGTCATATTAATGAAGGAACTAGCCCATTTAGATTTCCGGCAATTGTTGGCAAATGGAGAGAGAATTGGAAGAGAGTAAGACAGGGAAAAGGAAAACTGGTTAGGGTTGTATTAGTCAAGATTCTCCAGAGAAACAGAACCATTAGGAAACATGGTATAGTCTTTTCCTTTTCTTTTAAGGAATTAACTTACACAATAGCAGGTGCTAGCAATTCCAAACTCCATGGGGTAGTCCAACAGACCAGAAACTCCATTTTATCGTTTGTTTTAATTGCGCTCACCATGGGATTGATTAAAATTACCAAGTCTGCCATAGTTGGAATAAAAGCCTCAAAGGTAAATTTTGCATGTAAGTGGAAGAGTAGACGATGTCACAGTCTTCATCCACAGACAGACTGGAAATAGAATCTCTCTTTTTCGAAGGACCTTCTCTTAAAGTTTTCAATTGATTATATGAGAGCTGCTTACATTATGGAGGTTAATCTGCTTTGCTCAAAGTCTACTGATATAAATGTTAATCATACCTAAAAAATACCTTCACAGCAACATCCAGACTTGTGTTTGACCAGACAACTGGTGACCATTTCCTTCCCAAGATGACACATAAAATTAGCTATCACAGGAGTACTATTGTAA